ACAAGCAAGTCAATAATAACCACAGCCACCGTCATGGGGAAGGTTCTGGGTGGCCTTCTGATCCCGGGTCTCTTGGGACTACGGAGCAGCCCATTTGTCCTCCAGGTTTGCACCCTACCCAGGCATTGCTCCAGCTGTACTAGTGAAAATTTGGGCATCAAGCAACAGGATCTAACTTGGCTGCTTGGAAAGGGACTAGACTGCTTTCAGAATCAATGAAAGGCTGCATATCAAGCCCCATGCAGAAACTGAAGCTGACAGTGTTCAGTCTAGCTCCTACCAGAAGGATTCTGAAGACGTTCCTATAGACCCCATTGCCTGCTGCCACTGTGGGCCCTTCATCAGGGGACCTTTGTCACCTCTACTGCCTTTCACTCTTAAGATTGCTGCCATGAGCAACCCTCTGATGGACCTTTGAGCCTTTGTGTGATGTCTCTGGACCCTAAATCCCAGACGGGCACAACAGATGGCCAAACTTCAGTCCTTGCTAATCTATGTGGAGTAAGGAAAAGGACTTGTGTAGGCCTAGGAAGGGTTTTGACACTCATCTTTCATCATTTTACAAGACAGAACAGGGATTGCAAGTGCAGAGCTTACAGGAAAACATTCCCTGCTGTAGATCTCACTGAAGAAGAGGTGTATTTGCTTCTTTGAATGGAAAGACAGCTCAGATCTCTCCTGTGGCTTCCTTATGTCATGGGAATGCATTTCATTTTCAGCTAAGCCACTTCAAGGACAGTCTTTGTCACTTGAAGTCAAAATAATTGTCTTACTTCCATCATCCTACCTGTGGTTGTCAACTACTGGTGGTGTCATCCTCCCCGGGGAAATTTGTGAATGTGTGGAGTGTAGTTCTCCCTCTTGTCTAGGGCTTTGCCTTCTGAGATCTCAGTTACCTGAGATCAACCATGGTCTGAAAATATTCAGTGGGAACTTCTAGAAAAAAAAAGATAATTCTTAAGTTTTACATTCTGTACCCTTCAAAGGCTTGTTTCCATAGTGTAGTGGTTATCACATTCGCCACACACACACATTCTGTACCCTTCAAAATAGTATGGCAACAAGCTTCTGTCCTTCTTGTCTTAATTAACAAGAGGACTGTCCCTTTGTCCAGCATATTCACTATATACATACAACTCACCCATACGTCACTTAGTGTGAGTCTGGGTTATTAGATCTAAGGTCACAGTACCATGGTGCTTGTGTTAGGTGACCTTATTTTACTTCATAAAGGCCTGAAAGTGCAGGAGTAACCGCCCTGGTAATCTTTTCACGGCGTGTCACAATAATTGTTCTTTTTATTGTTAGTCAGTGCTGCTAATCTCTGGTCCTTTCTAATCTATAAACTTCACTTAATCATAAGAGTTTACATGCACATGGAAAAAACATAACATAGATAGGGTTCACTATTATCCTCAGTCCCAAGGATCCAATGGAATACTTGAGATTTTTCTTCCACAGCTAAGGGAGATGTCTATGCACGTCGTCATGTAGTTAGCGAATGACCCTACACAACTCAAGAAACTTAACTGTAAACTACAGTAAAAGCTACCTGTCCCGAATGCCAGTCATGCCACAGGCAGGACAAGCTACAGCCCCATCAATAATACTGAGGTTGGTCATGGTCAAACCTCTTCAGGTTCCTGGTATAACTCAGCTCACTGGTGCACTGGACAGGAGCTGAGGTGAATCCACCCTTCAGGGACTTGTTCCGGTAAATTATATCATTGGCAACATGGTGAGGCCCTGACATGGGAGAGCAAGGTTTCGGGTCTGAAGAAGAAGTCCTCCATGAAGACAGATGACCGTCACAGATAGCTAGATGAGAGCCCTGAAGGGACAGGGCCTTGATTCTAGAGAGCAAAGGGTTATCTTATTCATATAGATTTCCAGGGGGCCATGAGGGGATGTTTCATATCCTGTGTGTCTCCAGGCAGGAAGCACTAGATAAAAGTAAATTTTAAATTCCGAGTTATTTGGGGATGGACATGGGGGAGGGTCTCTGGGTTACAGGAAGCTGCAAAGGAAGAAGACGACCAGGCCTCAGAAGCTTTGCTTATCAACTCTCTGCTCTGGGGAGAGAGAATGAAGGAGGGGTGTCCTGATCTCTGGGAGCCGGGTCTGTAACCTTACACTTCCCGCAGACTTTGGTCATAGCTTCCTATTCACTACAAAGTGAAACGTGGTGACCAAGTCATCGGAACCATCCAAACCACACACGGGCTATCCCTGACAGAAGACCAACCTTCCTCATAAGGAAACTGAGGTTCTCAGCTAAGGAAACTGAGACTTGGGGTCAAGGCATCTTATCCAAGGTCACCTAGCTCAGCTGGTGGCAGAACTCAGTGTGGAGTCCATCCTCTGGCCCCCATTGAGGGCCTGGCTGTTTTCCAGGGGCGGGGGACAGGCTTGAGAAATCTCAACTCCAGTGGCGCAACCTGATTCTAGGAGACTCCTCTGAGCTTCCAGGTGACTGACTGGAAGGCTCAAGACAGGGCCTCTGTCTCTCTCGGGATGCCACCTGCCGAGGCTAACGGTGAGGGAGGGGCTGTTTTGGGAGGGGCTGAACTTTGTAGGCAGACCTGGCTCCAAGCAAAAGGAACAAGGAGTCAGCAGCCTGAGCCTCGCCCCCAGGGAGGATGAAGGCTCCAAGTGGATTTGCAAGGACTTGGTCCCTGTGTTACTTTCCCCAGATAATCACACAGGAACTAATTAGCACCTTCCCTATGAGCACAGCCCTCTGGGGCTGGAGGATGCTCAGAGGAGAAGAGAAGCCCATTAATTACCTTATCAGGAAGCACAGAGAAGAACCTGCAGAAGGTATTGCTTTGAGGCTCTGAGCTAATTAAAGAGGGCTGTGGGGTGAAGGAATGTGTCACCCTGCAACAGAATATAGCACTGGCTTTGATCCTGACCCGGAACCCTTGCATCCCCCAGGCTGAGAGAAAAGACTGTCCAAGGAAGCTTCTTTGTAGTTCATGACTCTAACACAGGGTGGGGTGTTCAGGAGTAAACCTGCTGGTCGTGATACTGGCCTGTCCTGACTGAGGACTGAGGTTATGGGAGGCTTGCTGAGCTGTCTCTCATGACCCTATAGCAGAGTTTGTCTAGGGTTTCTGTCCCATGTCCCCGCTCATTGATGTTACTAGCTAGCAGGCCTGTGTGGTTAGGGAAGAAAAGGCTCAGAGTTTGTAACACTCCAAGTCGAGGAAAGTTTGGGTAAGAAGAGGTAGGAGCTGGGCTTGAACCTTGACCTCCAGCTACTCCCTCCTCTGAGCGATTGTTCTGTAGGTCCAATGATGCTGGCTGGAGCCATACGTGGCCTCCAGTCCTGGGATCCTTCTCTTCCTACCTGTTGGACCCAATCCTTCTCTTTTTCTGACCCCTGGTCTCTTTGTCCTTGATGTGGGGCTAGTCATGCCTTCTCAAAGGAGTCTAAAGAGGGCTGGGGAATAAGATGGTCCATGCAGGTAACCTAGGACAGAGATCAGCAGTCATAATTTTGTCTTGAATAGGTCATGTTACAAACTTATTTTTAGGTACAGAAGTTTCGATTCAGTTGCACAGAAACCAATCAATTGCAATTCACCAAGAGGGGGGCCATCTCTGAAAGGAAGGCATTGGATCCATAGGCCCTACCCACTCAGGCCTGCTTGTCAACCAACAAAGACTCTGTTGACTACCCAGAATTCCTCAGGGTACGCTTGGACCACCTGCCTCTGAGGAAAAGAGTGCTCTGAGGTTTCAAGAGACTGAATAAATATCCCAGGTGAAACAATGATGCCATTTTATCTCTCAGAAGTCATTAGTGACCCACTATCCAGAGCCTGTGCATTTGAGCTAGTCTTTCAGAGGAGGGAATGGGTGTTCCCTACCCTCTTTTTTTGTTCCCCAATAGTTGCTTAGCCTAGTGCACCTGTAGCAAGTAACAGGGAGGAAATACTCTGCATGCCTTGATACTAAACCTATGACCTTGACATTCATCGCGGTACTTCAGTACACCAGGCTACCCAGCCCAGGATCCATCAGTTAAGAGGAACGTTTTGTGCAAGCATACCTATATCATTACCTACTAAGAGTATCAAATATGTATATCATAATACCAATGGCATTATTTTGCTGGATATTCATAGAATGTCTTTCCTAAAGCCATAACAAGTCAAGAGCTGGGGATATAGAACTCTGTGTCCTAGAATGCAAGAGGCTCAGAGAACAAACACTGATTCCTCAGAAGTAGTCCTGGTTCTGGCAGCCTCCAAGAGTGGAACATTACACCAGCATGAAGCAATTGCTTATTTGTTTTTTCCTTTCACTAAAGGAGACCCAGCACACTAGCTGCGTCAGCACCATGAGAGCTCAGGATTATTTGAATCATTACAGAAGCCCCGTGCTTTACCAGCCTGTTCACAACTCAAAATTGACTAAACAGCTGCAGCATAGCTACCGTGTATCTCAGAGTTGCTAGGCATGTTCAGGGGTTGCCTCACTGAATCCTCAAAACTGCCCAAGAGTCAGTGTCATACCAAATTATGATTTGACTTGGAGGCAGGAGAGTCTTGGACCTCGATCTTGCCTTGCAACTGTTAAGACTGTTGAGATTCAAGCCAAAGCTGTCAAAGTCAAGATGGCTTCTTGATGGTTCATGATTGCTCATGATAGTTTCCCAGAGAAATCTGACCTCTGTCCAGCCACTCTCCATTCTTCCTAGGATACCCTAGAGTGAAAGACAGGCTGGCACGGTGGGACACAGAGTGAGAATGGACAGACTGAGTTCTAGCTGGTTCTGGTTTTAACCAGATAGGTTCCTTTTAGTTTCTGGTCTCTAAAGCAGAGGGAGTGGCTGACTTTCAAAGCCACTTCCTGCTCTGCCTCGCCACTGGTGACTGCCTGTGAGTCTCTGAAGGGCTCTGGGTCTCCATCTGATGTTTTGTATGCTCACGGGTTCCTTTGGCTTGAGTGTAGCCTGATGCCCAAGGAGGGACACTTCTCTCCTTTCCCAGCTTCCCAACGAGTCCTGTGAGAAGCTAAGGAGGAGCAGGACTCCGGAAGGTGCACAGCCCCCTGGTGACCGGAGGAGGAAACTGCAAGCCTTCCCAGCACGGAGCCCACCTCCTGCAAAAGGTGAATGCAGTTGCTTTGGGCTCGCTGTCCATTTTCTGGTCCATGTGGAAGAGTGAGGGGATTGAGTGACTGTGGAGAACAAAACTCCAACAAGATGAGGCGAGGCTAAAACTCAGTAATGGCTGAAAACTTTTAGGTAAGGCAACCTCACCTTCAAACATCAAATTGCTGCTCTGAAAATGTTGCCTGCCCCCAACCCTGCCCCAACTTCTCAGCAGAGAGGAATGACTGGCTAACTTTCAGACCAGAGTGTGATTAGAGAACCACTCCAAAGGGCTCAAGTTCAAGAGCATGTAGAAATCCCAGGAACTGATTAGAAGAAGGTTCTTGGGGATGCTGGGAGCGCCCCACCCCAAGGTCCTCTCCGAGCTGAGAGTTGTAAAGGGAGGGCACTAGCAGTAAGCAGGGAGAGTAGAGACAGGGAATAATAGTGTGTTAGTGGAAGAGACTTGTTAGGCCAATGGCAATAGAAGGAGACATGGAAAAATAACTGTGTGTCTAAGTCAAGAAAGCTGCTGGTCCATAAACTGGGGAAAGAGATGGAAACATGGTCAAAGCCACCCAAAACAAGAGACAAATGGTAACTTTTAGACCTCCTGCCCCATAAATCTGTCATGCTTGTGCCTCAATAAACCTTTATACATAAAACAGCAGCAGGCAGTAGTATCCTGCCATCGTTTGCACTGAAACAATAAGGCGTGTTGTAGGGAGGGAGGAGGCGGGTGAGCAGGCAGGGAGGAGGGTGAGATGAGAAGAGTCAGGAGGGGTTATCAAGTACAGATCATGGTGAGGACTTTCTGGCTTTGTGCTAGAAACCACTGTAGAGGCTTGAAAGCAAGGAGGGATAGGGCTTGACTTAGGCTCTGTCTGCAACCTTTACTAAAGCTGCAACACTTTAATACAGCTCCTGGTGTTGTGGTGACCCCCTAACCATGAAATTATTTCATTGTTACTTCATAACTGTAATTTTGCTACTGTTGCAAATTGTAATGTAAATTTCTGTGTTTTCCCATGGTTTTAGGCTACCCCGGTGAAAGGGTCACTCGACCACTGCTTTATAAGCTACCTCTGGCTACATTGAGCCCTGGAGAGAAGAAAGGGGGAAGCAGGAAGGCCGTTTTGGAATCTATAGCCACCATCTAAGTAGAGATGCTGGCCATCTGTGGAGAGGTGAAAAGGTGACCAGCGTATTCCTGGTATATTTTGAGGGTAGAATTAGCAGGACTTTCTAAGACCATGGAATGAGGGAGAGAGAAGCCTCATGTGTGGCACTCAGGCTTGTGCTTTGAGCGAGATGCTGAAGGTACTGAGCGGTCCAAGGCGGGGCATGGAGGGGCTGAGTCAGAGGAAGGAATCTGTGATGGGCACCAAGAGTACAGATTAAACAGGCTCAAGTGACACTTTTGAGTTGTTAAAACAAACAAACGAACAAATAAACATCTAGCAAATGGGCATGAATCAGTCTCAGGTGGGATGTACACCATCAAGATGATGGCCCACCGACTCCTTCAGCCTCCCTGTGTCTCATAGGCTTCTGGATTTGGCCATTCCTCGCTGACCAACCCCGGCACAGTATGATGACCTTTGCTCACACGGCTGTGACTTCGTCTCTCGACACCATAGGGAGGCTCCAGGGATGAGAGCGAAGTTTCCTTAAGTCTTCCACGTCACATCAGGAGAACCCATGTCCTGCCAGTGGACTTTTGCCTCTCAGCGTGTCTCTAGAAAGGCTGTGTGACATGATCAGAAAGCGTAAAAACCTTAGCACCCCTGGGGCAAACTTCATCCAGTGGGAAACGGGGGGGGGGCAAAGGAACACGTGAGCACCTCGTCCTTCCGGCATCATCTCCCCACACGGTGTAGCCCGTCAAGCACCAGCTAGGCTTTTGTAGGGCAGCTGTGACCTCGTCACGCTGCCGTTAGCTGCCCTCACTCTCTGTCCCACAATGCTTCTCCTCCATTCTACCTCCCTGGGCTTCTTCCCTTCAACGAGACCTTCTCCTCAGATGCTTTGCCTCGCATCTGTTTCGTAGAGAACCTGCGCTAAAATTCTGGTGTCAACAAACAGTAATGTGCACCTTATTCCGTAAACATTTAGAAAGCACACATTATATGTTAGCTGTTATCTTATGTGCCCCACGAATGCTAACATGTTTATCTTTATCATAGCCATCGAAGGAAGAGATCTGTTTCCTTACTTTCATTCTACAAATGGGGAAACTGTGGCAGGCATGCACAGTAGCCAGTTGGCCTTGCTGTTCAAAGGAAGCATGATGTACGCTATGGACAGTGTCCTAAACCTTCTGGTAGCCATATTGGAAAAGCAAAAGAAAGAGATGAAATTAACTTTAATTTTTTTTAAAAAATTAACTAAATAAATCCAGGCTACTATTTCGAAAATGAAGTCATCACATAAATTTCAGTGAGATACTTTGCATTTTTTCTTACTGACTCTTTAGTTGAGTATCTGTGTTACATTTGCACTACATTTCAACTTGGACAAGCTATATTTTCAGACGAGATCGGGTGCGTTCAGGGTGGTATGGCTGTAGACAGACAAGCTATATTTTCAATGTCCAGTAGCCACAAGTGGCTGGACAGTGCCGAACTGTATGCCATGTTGTTTCATGAACCATGGTAAAAGAGTGCTGCTTCTAAGACATTGCTCCCACTCCTCAATTCAGATATAAATGTGGAGGAGGACCCTGTCCTTAATAGAAAGACAGAATTGTTAGTGGATGAAACTTCGCTTACTGTTCTCGGTTCTCTGATGATAACTGTTGCATGGCTGTCTGCAAGCGCCGAGAAAAAGACAGTGAGCACATTGCCAGCAAACGTGATAAAAAACATCCTGGGAATAGATGTTTAGAGTTTGTGCTTTTGCCCAGACATGGGAATGCTTGGGATTTTTTTTATACTGTACACAGTCAAAGCTTGGGTGTTTTCTGCTAGCGGAACTGTCCCTAGTTTATGTGGCTGAAATAAACTTTCATCTGAATTTGGTTTCCGTTTCCATGATGATTTGCCAAATCCTGACTGCGGGCCAGCCCCTGGGGGGGGGCAGGGAACTACAGAAATAAACAAGATGATGGAGCCTCCTCGCTAGGGAGTTTTTGGTTTTCTAGATGAGCAGGACCAGGAACTGTGACAAAGCCATTTGGTGAGTGTTGTGACAGGAAAGGTTGGAGACCATCTGACCCACAATCAAGGTTAGAGAGGCTAGAGTGAGGATGTAAGCTAAGCCAGGAGCCCAAAGTGAATGGGGGGGGGATTAAGGGAAGAGGGATGTAGGGGTGGCATAGACCCTGTTTCAGGCAGAAGCAAATGCCAAATGAAGGGATCAGGGAACATTAAAAAACAAAACAAAACAAAATAAAGTCCCTACAACTAAATCCCAACATAAGAAGGCACTTTAAAGCGAGAGGCCAAAGAGTTAAACACAGATGGGGAAAGAGACTTGAGTTTTGGTAAACATGAACAGACAAGGGAACTTGGGGGCCTCTTTCTACAGCCAGCTGGGATTTGGGAATCTTCATCTTAACAAGCTCCCTGGATGGATCTTTGATATAGAAAAACACTGGTAAAACATTTTAAAGATATCTGAAATTATTCAAAAGAAATAATTTGAAAATGCATTTCTGAGCCATAAAACAATGAGAAAATAGGACAAATTTGAACACATCGACTTTATTAAAGAATTGTTCAATTTTTAATGTATCAAGGTATTGTACTTAAGTCTTTTTAAGGACCCTTATGTCTTACAAATTCAGACCAAGATGCCTATGGATAAAGTATATGATTGCAACAAGGTCTGGACAGGAGAAGGGATGGATGGGAGCTAAGAAGTGAAATAAACTGGTTTGAAATGGCAGCAAAGGCCTCAGCACACACGCTCCATCATCCTGTTTATTTCCCTCTGTGTCAGAAGCCTTCCCTAATAAAACAGTTCCTGAGACCAGACTTCCAGGGCATTCACACATCATACTCGCTGTTCTTTATCAGCTGAACCCCTAAGATGTGACCCGAAAGGATGGTTCGTGCTGGGGTGGAGTCTTCCAGTCTAGGACCAAAGACAGGGGCAGCAGCTTCATTGGAGGTAGCCTAGGGTCACCTCTCCAAGGGACTGATGATGCTGAGATTGCCTCTGTGTGTGTGGTGTTCATGTGTGTGTATGCATACCCGTGTGTGTGTGTGTGTGTGTGCGCGTGCGTGCGTGCGTGCGTGTGTGTGTGTGTATGTGTGTGTGTGTGTGTGTGTGTGTGTGTGTGTGTGTGTGTTCACCTCATGACACACAGGTAGAAGCCATAGGACGGCCTTGGCTGTCAGTCCTCACCTCCTCCTTTAAGCAGGTTCTCAGTTGTTTTTCTTCTTCATATTCTAGGCTAGGTTGAAAGTCTACCATCTTCCCTCCCCATCCTCTCAGAGGACCACCGGGATTATAAACACCTGTGCTAAGCTCTGAAGCTTTATTAGGTTCTGGGGCCTCGAATCTAGGTACTCAGGCTTGCTTAGCAGCTGTTTTGCCCACTGAGCCATCATCCTGGCCCAGAGGATCCTTTGTTAGCTGGCTTCTTTTTTTTTTTTTTTTCAGTGAAAAGAAGGACACCATGAAGCTGCCAAATCCAAGGACGATAACAGCGCTTCTGGACATGAACTGTCAGACAGATCAAGGAAAATTACAGGAAATGTTCAGAAAGTGATGGAGGGAATGCAAACAGCAGACAAAGCTCAGCTTGCTTACAACATCTACAGGGAAAGCTCTCACAAGGCAGAAACTGGCAAGCCAGGAGTCTGTAGTTAGGACCCAGGAATGGGGATCCAAAAGGGGCACATAGACATAATAGACATAGAGCCCAAAGCCAATGAGGCTAGCCCAGAATGTTACCAGCTACACAACACTTGTATGTAATCTATACATTAAAAAATACTGTGCATGTCATCATAACATGCCCCAGGCACTGAAAAGGACATTGCTGTTAACCTCTAGTCCTGAGTAGGGGGCAGAGGTCAGGGGACTTGATTAAATCCCTCCCATCTCCCCTGTATCCCCCTCCAGAATCCGCAGTAAGCCTGTCCCACACTCCCAGCCCTCTGAGACTGAGTAGTCAGAGGGAAGGAAGAAAACAATGGGTAGCCAGAGGCCCTCAGCCTGCTGCTGAATGGGGACTTTGGTCGGATGTTGAGTTTACCTGGAATGCCCCGGTGTTATTTTGGGAAGGCAGACATCCTATGGAAACAGTGATGTGGAAAAGAAAACAGCTAAAGCAAATGCTAGCGCCCAGTTTTTTGCCAAGAGTCCCATGTGACCAGGGTAGGCCCGAGAAGCCCATGTCAGACAGATGGAGGGCTTGAAAATCAGGGTATCTAGGTCACCAGCAGGAAGCGTGCAGGAAATAAATGGAAAGGAAGGGTCTCAAGGAAGTGCCAAACAAGCCATGACAGGATAGAGAGAGCCTAAAAATGTGTATCTTGCCATTTGTGTGACAGAAAAAATATAAATAAATAAAAGGAATACAGCCTGGAATTGGACCCTGGTCTTCCCCTGTTTGCTGGGTGATCTCAGGCAAGACAACCTTTAAGACAGATGGGAACCCAGAAGCTGGCAAGCATGTTTCATAAAGATGGCAGATTAGGTGCCATAAACACAGCCTGTTCCTTAGTAATAAAATCTGATAAATTCCTGCATAGATAGGCTGTGTAACCCAGGCTGGACCTAACTTGTAACCTTCTTGCCTCTACCTCCTGAGGGCTGGGACATATGTGTCAGCTCATTGTCTTTAAATCTCATGCTTTTCAAAGGAACACGAGCCCCCTACCTTCCCTGTGTGTGACTTCTCTGGCAGACAAGAAAGAGAGGTCTCCTATGTTCTCTGTTCACCGTGGGCTGGGGCATCTTTTGGTGGCGGTGGGGGACGGGGGCAGTTCCAGGGAGGTCTTGGCACCTGGTTAGGGTAAACAGGAATGGCTGCTGTCTAAATGCGCAGTTTAGACCACCTGCAGGTGTCTGTTTCAGGTGGGGGAAAATCAGCTGCTGGACAGGGGAAAATGAGTTTCAAAGGCAACTCAGAGCTAAAACGGAAAAGCGAGAGAACAGTGAGTTGAGAAACATGAGGAAAAGTCATTGTCACCACACAATCCGGGTGGGCCCGTATATAAGGTTCTAGAGCCACTCCAGAAGACATTTGGCGGTTCCTTAAAATTCTGAACATGAAATGCAAAACATGAAATTGCCACAAGAGCAATTCCACTCCTAAGTATCTGTCCGAGAGAAGGGAGCAAGTTTCATCACACACGAAAGTTAGTGCAGGCTTCTGGGATGGAGTGGGGAAATTATAAATCAGAAACTTGGTCTCTTTGGGGTGTTTCCCAGGTGTTGTTCTAGAAAGTCATGGCTGAAAGAGAGCCTTTGGGTCAGGTGACCTGTGCTCCAGTTTCAGCACTATCTGCGAGCCACCATGTGACCTCTGGCATGGGATGGAGGGGCCTAATCTCTCAGTGCCTTGGTCCCCATGTCTGTAAACGGGGTTCAGCCATGTGCCTGCTTCATACAGTAACAATGTGTGACTAAGGATGTATGTGTAAACACAGTACCTGCTTCCAGTAGAGTCCCATGACTATGAACTGCTACAGTTAAAGAGGAAAAACCTTCATCATGCTGTTGTTACAAATAATAAAAGATCTGATCTATTAGCTAGTGAGGCACTCCCAGAAACAAAGTTTAAAAAGGTTAAAATTTTAAGTCTCGGTGGTTCGGGCTGCAGCCATGGGGGAATGTGAAAAGGTATCAAACTCTCTTTCCTCCTGCTGTTCCAGGAGAGGAATAAATATAATGGGCTCTGAGATGCTCATTGTCTTCCAACAGGCCTGGCTCCAGCCCAGCTGGGGTGAGCGTTCCCTTCCCAGTCTTCCAAAGGCGACAATGCTGAAAGATAATTACAACTCGGCAAGCAGTGGTGACCGAGGAGAAGGTGCTGAGCCCCTCCAAGTGTGGAAGAGAGGGAGCATCTGGATTATTAGTTAAGGATGCTCACATACGAACGGTGTAGGGACAATAGTTAAGCCCTGGCTGCTGTCTTTGAACAGTGTTTGAATATCTGGTTGAGTTGCTGGCAGTGGGCTCAAAGAAGCACTCCATAGTCATCTGGGGTGGGGGGGGGAGACCGGAGGACTGACTGACAAACAACTCACACATCACCTCCTTTTCTCTGCATCTCCATGGAGATGCCAGTATATCTTGACTTGAATGGTCTGTTTTGTAGGCTTGGAACATGGGTCATAGCTCACACCTCTAATTCATCACTGGGACAATAAGGGGGCAAAGAAATGAGGTGTGTGACACAAGTTGGTGGGGAACATAATAGGGCCAGATGTACACATCTGGGAGTCAGGCCAACACACCTTATGACACATCACTCTCTGAGACCAGATGAGGGATCGGTTCTGTCTAGCCTGCAGGTAAGGAATAAGTATGTGGTTAGCTTCCATCCCCAGGACAAGGAAACCAATGAGGGCAAAGGCCACTGCAGGCTGAGGAGCTGCTGGTGACTTGCACCAGGGTCAGAAGGCAGGGAGAAAGGTGCCAGGATGGGTTCATGATGAAACTCTCAATCTCACCAGCCTCCTCCATGCCTTCCTTACCAGTTACTGTCCTAAGGACCGGCATGCCATAGATCAGTTGCTGGTGTATCTGACGGACACCCTGTTCTGAGTATCCAGTGAGTCTTTCTCCTCCCTCCCCCCCTCTGCCCACATGGGGACAGAAGCTACTATGCTTGCACAGTGTGGCACTGTCTGTACAGACACATTAGTCCAGATGTGCAACCTGAACCACGACTTGGATAATGGGCCTCCCTGGGTAGCAGGCATCATGGAAGCTTAAGGCAGTGGAGGGGTGGGGGTCAGAGCAGACTGACAGCAAAGATAAAAATCATCCTGAACAGCAGACCCAGACCCACAGCTGACTACCTATGTGTTTTAGGGCAAATTCCTTAAGCACTG